AAAAGCGGAGGACGTTAGCATAGTACGACTGACAGGTTCCAAGTCTGGACGCGAGTCATGTTAGCGTGGGACTAAGCGAATGACGCTGGCAGTGCGGTGAAGTCCACTGATCTCATCGTGAGCATTCGTACGCGACAGTGCCGACGCTGCCTTGCACAGTATTCAACCGCTCGTCCCAAGGCTCCCGGCGCATCTGAACACGTTGCGCATACTCTTCAACGCCGCCATCTTCTTGTTAGCCCTCCCATTGGACGCCTGTACCCCGGATTTCTCCACCAAAAGTTAGACGATCAGACTCACCTTCCTCCGCCGAATGCCTGCCTGCCTTGCGACGCCCTTGTTGCTCATCTCTCCGCCATTTTCCAGAACCGCCTTCTGAGGCCTTTTATTTGCGCCCTTTGCTGAAACGCCCTACGATCCTTTGTCCGACTCGACCAGGTGTTTGGAAACAATCACGCGGTGGTGTAGTAAAACTGCGACAACGAGACAACAATCTGGACCAGACCCTCTACATAATCGTGACAGAACTGCGCTATCCAGAAACCGCCACCAGGGTACCAGCGCTGGTCCCGTTCGTCCATCTGCACCTTCCACGGCTTCGCGATTGATACGAGATCAACAAGGCTGGAAGCGGCGCTCGAGGACAAGCGAAGAATCTTTTCGAGCAACGGGATCACCCGGATAGATACAGGAGACGACATCCTCCCGATATTTTACACCACTCAGCCACGCGAGGCGCGCAAACACACATGACGAGCCGCAAGCGACGCGCGCCGGGCGCTTCACCACAGGCTCCAACCCAGACATACCAGCACGACATCCCCGCGCCAACTGATCCGTACATGGACTGGAGCAACCCCGCAGCAGGCGCAGATATGAACTTCACCGACCCCCCACTATACGACAATTACGGCCAGAGCATGGGAGGGGGGCATAATCGGGTCGTGTCGCTGGACGGATACACCGACGGCACCGAGATGACGGGACAATTGGTACGGCGGAATACAAACCAGCAACTCGCACCAGCGCCGCGGCGGAATCAATGGGATGGCTTTCCTAGTCCAACGCAACAGTGGGAGACTGTGGACGATGATGAGGAGCTCGAGCAGAAGGCGGCTATTGCGAAGAAGGATGCACAGGCGAAGCGGAAGCAGATTCCACCGTTTGTGCAGAAGTTGAGCAGGTAAGTGCTCGCGATATGGCATGATTGAGTGGATGACTGACGTTGATAGTTTCCTGGATAACAACAAGAACGAAAACCTCATTCGATGGTCCGACGACGGCAACTCTTTCATCGTGCTTGACGAAGACGAATTCGCAAGGACACTCATACCCGAGCTCTTCAAACACAACAACTACGCATCATTTGTACGGCAACTGAACATGTACGGATTCCACAAGAAGGTTGGGCTATCGGACAACTCCATGAAAGCTAGCGAGACTAAAGCGAAAGCGCCCAGCGAGTACTACAACAAGTATTTCAAGCGCGGTCGGCAAGAACTACTATGGCTGATTCAGAAACCGAAGAATCCTGTCACTGGACCCAAACGGAAACGAGATGAGGAGAACAAGGGCGATAGTGATGAGGATCGCAAGTATATCCAAGACACAGGAGGCGGAGGCTACGTTGAGGAGGTGGCCGTCAGGGGAAACGAACAAATGGCCATGATCCCGCGGTCCGAATACAACAGCTTACGGGTCGAAGTCAGGGAGCTTCAACAGCAACAAAAGCTCATTTCCAATGTTCTCACCCAGATCAAACGACAGAATGAGGAGCTATATTCACGAGCGACGTCATTCCAGGCCCTGCACGACCGCCACGAGAACTCCATCAACGCAATCTTGACATTCCTCGCTACCTTCTATAATAGGAGTCTAGAAGGTAATGCGAATATGAACCTTGCGGACATGTTCCCTGCAGCACGACAACAACCTCACGGCAATGTAGTGGATGTTGACGACTATCCCATGCAAGATGCTCACAAGTCACCGCAGCTGCAGAGGAACAAGAAACCACTGGCCATTCTTCCTGCACCAGGTCCAACTCAACAGGACTATCTCGCACCGACAACCACCGGCCGCGCCACAACCATGAGCCCAACAGCCCGGCCCCTCGCAAGTCCCATCACCCGCCCGGGAAGCCGCCAATCAGTATTTCGCCCCTCAGTATCGATGAATCGCCAACAATCACAATCCTCCTTCCCACAACAACAAAGCCGAGAAAGCATAACCCCGTCGCAAGTCAAACCCGAACCCGCCCAACAAGTTGCTCAGCAATTCCCCGAGAACTCTGCCATAATGTCCGCCATCCAAAACGCAAACAACGCTGCTGCAAACCATTCTGGCACCGCCGGTACTAATGGTCCCCCACCCACAGATTTCGACTACGCAGCCGCGCTGTCGAATTACCAAACTGCCGATGGCCATGTTCCTCTTACCCCCCAACAACGGAACGACGTCCTCTCGCAGATTGTGAACAACGCAGGTGCGCAGAATACCAATAATGCCTTGACGAACCCGCATCCACCCGAGATGGACAGGTTACTAGGCGACCTAGCGCAGTACCAAGCTACACAGCAGCAGCTGGAGATGTTACAGAAGCTGTCCGATCAGCAAAACGCCAAGATACAGGGAATCCATGAGAGAATACTGCCACTTAGCCCCACTGGACAGATCTCTGGGCTAGGCGAGAGCGGCGATGGATATTTTGGTGGCGGGGATGGTGGGCTCGGCGAACCGGGTGGTTACGATCTTAACATGGATTCTTTTGTTAATGACGATGATTTCTTTACGTCGACGGGGGATGTAGCTGCGAATCCGGAGGTGATGACGTCGTCGGAGCAGAAGAGCGGTGGTGGTGGTAGCGGTGGAGCAAATGGCGCTGTCGCTGCTAATAACGCGAATGGCGGTATACCGGATTTTACCTTTGACGATGGTACGCCTTTTGACGTTGTCGATGGCGTGAATGGTGGGGGGGACCCGGCTTTTGACTTTGCGGATACGACGGCGAATGGTGGCATGGGAGAGGATGATTCGGGCCTGCTGAGTGTTAATGGAGGAGGGAATGGGAATGAAGAGGGAGTGGTGGGCAATGGGGCGGCGAGTGGGGCGAGTAGTACGTCGACTTCGCCGGCTGGGAGTGCGACGGTGGAGGAGGTGGAGGATGAGACGAGGAGGGGACTTGGTGGGGGTGGGAGTGTAAAGAGGAGAAGGAGATGATGACTATGAGGGCATCTGAAAAGCTTCTTTTTTCACTTCTTCTTTTCTTAGCGCGTTGCTGTGGTGGTGATGGAAAGTGTGTTTGGGAAAGCGGAAAGGGAAGGGAGGGAATTTGTGCTTTGACGAAAGTCTATGATTTGGGGGAAAGGGTTATGTAACCGCGTGGTTGCGGTGTTTTGGACAGTGTTCACATAAGTCCTGTTCATCTTCTTATTTTTTCTTTTTCTTTTCTTCTCCCTTCCTTGCGTGGCTGTGGATGGCTGTAGTGTAAAAGCCTCGAATTATAGATACCCCACTTCTGTACTCGCTGTTATTTCTCTCGTCGTTGAGGTCTTGTTGCTTGAAAAAGTCACCGGAGCGCTATTCGAAGCAAAGCACTCAGATGCATGCGCCCCCTTCCCGCCCTTGCATTCTGCTCATGTTCCTACCTGGAGTATTGCTCAAATGCTTCAGCCAGGCCAAATGTATTTCAGGTGTCCGCCGGCCGCTCCGATCTGGTGTTTGACAAGACCCTGGGAAAGCTGTCAAGGGTGTACTGCTCGACTCGACTTGTTTTGTATCCGCTACACCAAAGACAGCATTGTTCTGGACGCCACACCCCGTCGACGTGGGGTGATTTGCCTAGTGTCTAGGTCTTTTAAAATGAGTGGCTGATTCCACAATGAACTGCAATGGCTGTACTAGTTCAAAATGAGATTCTTGGACTGGGGTTACAAAGATTTGCGGCAGGACTGCCGACTTTTAGCTTGGAAATTAGTTTCCGGTGGACCCCTTCCCCCCTGTTTACATGCGGCTGAACGTCAAGTTGAGGCTCAATACTTACTGTTCTAGATCATCATTGCGATGGCCTTACAACAAAATGGCTAGACAACTACAATGAGCCAGATCGTTTTGCTGTTGGTGCGCGAATATTGATTTTACTTCTTCAGCTGGACTTCATCGTTTGGTCTGATTCTTCGTACGTGCAACATGCGCCACCAGTTCTGACTCGGACATGGAAAGGGAGTATATATCCCTGATGTCTCTACTCCACTCCGTGTGATCTCAGCCAAGTACTCACACTCGTTTTCCAGCTATGCGTGGTCTATCGTTCCTTACGTTGGGGCTTGTCCTATGTGTTGAAGCAGCGACAATCTCCAAAGATGCCAGATGTGGAGCGCCTGGCAAAGGAACTTCTTGCTTGAACTCAAAGTGGGGAAGCTGTTGCAGCCAATATGGTTGGTGGTAAGTTGTACTGGAGAGATATATAGGATTACGTTGACGCCATTTCCAGTGGATCTACCAAAGACTATTGCGAAACCGGTTGCCAAGTAGGCTTCGGATCGTGCAAAAAGGTTCCTGTAAGCTCTACAAAGACCACTGTTTCAACGGCAACAGGCCTTGCACCTTCCGCCTCTCCTAAGCAGCCAATATCCAAAAATGCTCGTTGCGGTGCTGGCTTTGGTGGGCAAACATGCCAGGGCAGTAAATGGGGCAATTGCTGCAGTCAATACTTTTATGTAAGACACCTGTCCCATTTGCTCATCATAAGCCGTGATCTAAGAAGGTTGACTTGCGCAGTGCGGCAGCAGTTACGACTATTGCGGTCCTCAGTCGTGCCAGAAGGGTTATGGCAAATGCGATCCCGCGCCATCCTCATCCAGGTCCAGCTCCAGCTCGTCAACAATTATCCCCAGCTCTGTTGCGTCTACCACATCGTTATCCAGTTTAAGCAGTAGGCCCATTGCCAGCAGTACCATTATATCGTCATCAGCTAGCAGTAGCTTGTCTACCAGCAGTCCTCACACGCCAACGCCCTCGTCTGTCGAAAGCTCCTCCACTGTCGCCACTGGTACCGAGTTTTCCAGCAGCTCGCCCACTCCGACACCAAGTTCATCAGATCCGTTCTCGTCATCCGCCACCAGTTCCGCAACTCCATCCTCGTCAGAGGTGGTTAGTAACTCTGCGACATCGTCCTCATGGGAAGTCTTGAGTAGTCTCGAAACACCCACACCTACACCCACACCTTCGTCGTCAGAAGTCGTCAGCATCTCTGCAACGCCTTCATCTACAGATTCCATCAGCAGCTCCCCAATTCCGTCCTCGTCGGAGATCATCAGCAGCTTTGAAACGCTCACACCCTCACCTACGCCTACACCCTCTTCATCGGATGTAGTTTCGACTACAGTTGTTTCATCTTCAGTAAAACCATCGGTCTCTACTTTCCCACCGGGAGTGAACATTCTGCTCAATCCATCATTTGAAGACATCGTTGGCTCGGGTCCTTCTGGTAGTATCAATTCTTGGTCTAAAGGACAAGGAGGCCGCACGTACCCGAATCGACTACAAGAGGCTGCGCATGAAGGATCTGTATATGCCATCTTGAATTCCACAACCTCTTTTACTCCTTCTAAGGCGAGTATATACCAGACTCTTTATTCGTTCGACACCACGCGAGAGTACACGTTGACCTTTTGGTACGATTTTCACTCAATTACGAACTCTGCATCTTGCTCATTGACGGTTTCTTTGGGAGGTGTCAACGTGTATACCAATACTATGACGATCGCGGATAATCCAGGACCGTACAAGTGGAAAGGGCCGATTACAACCACGCCATTGGTGCCGTCGGACAATGAGCAAACGTTGCGTTTTGACTATGATTGTGTTCCATCCACTAACAACGGTGTAGCTTCGAGCTATATATTCCTGGATGAGTTGAGTCTGATGTCGAATTAAGACATCTCATTGACTGGTCGTGTTCTTTAGACTATTAGTAATCAACGTAAATCACATCTTCATTACCAAAAAGAATTTCCCACCACGTCGCAAAAGCATAAAAGCCCAGCCAATGCATATAGGCGCGGAACACACACAGACCGGGAGAGCGTTGCCTAGTCTTCCCGAATCATTCTAGGCTGTTATCTATCAGGTAGCGATATCAAGGCTTGCTGCCTGGAAAATAGCATGCAAGCATTCGGGGAAACTTCTGTAGTCGTCATGACGTTTAATACACGACTTCAGATGACTGCTGGAGGACCTCGGGAGGCTGACGAGGTGTGGTAGGCTATAATGCCCAGAGATTTAGGGCTGACGTATGATGGTCAGTGCTTCGTGCCTGTATCCTAGCGTTCGGCATCGTCATCCCCTGCACACACGACACTGTGAAGCTTGTTGTCAATCAGTAAGCATCGTAATGAAAAGACGTACGACTGTGTCTGCTGCTACGCCTATTGTGTATACGTACTCCGCCGATGAGCCTCGGAACATTTCCTTTATATCGGCCCTCCTCTTCTGGCAGCGAGAGACGCCTCACCATCATCCCGTGCTTATAACACCAGTGCCGCGGATAGCGCACTGCCGTTGTCGCCTTCTGTTGATCTAATCTGAACCCAGCTCGCAATGGGCGAACCACAGGCCACAGCCGTCCAGAGATCGTAAAGCTATGTGCGCCGCTGAGACATCACTAGGGTCATGACAGGCTGCGCTGGAATGCCATTCGATAGCTAAGATGTCTACCTGGACTTCAAGTGGGAAGCGTCATTCGGTGGCTTGATGCCCGCCGTCCTGCTCCCTGCTTCCACGCGGGTGCCCACAGCCAGGTAGGCCCAATTTGATACAGATCACCAATGGGACTGCTTCCCGCCGTTGTATCGCACCGTTTGACTAAGCAAAACAGCTCCTCTCGAATTCTCCGCTAGGCGCATCAGAGAAAAGACGGTCGTTATGCTTCACACCATGCAGGGGTCACCTCCCACTAGCCCCGAACTCGAGACGATGCCTACAGAACATGCTTGCCTCCAATGCTTCCGCAGCCTGTTAACATGATTACGTTTCTCTGATACCCTCTGCTTGACTTCGCATGCATCTATGCATCTCTCATTCTATCAAACGCACCTTGCACAAACTCGTCTCAAGACAATACCTTTATCGGTCCAAGCTCAGCCCCCACAGCATGTGTATTCGCGTAGTCGAGAAGTTTCCCGTCTGCGGCTGTGTCTATCACACTCATTCAGTGGACCGATGCGCCTACTATGGACGACATCCGGTTATTGAGAAGGTCATCTGGGTCGGCGCGTCGTGTCGAGATCACAAGAATGGCTGATGCGCATACGAGCAGAAGAGCATTTACGTCCAACGTTTTGACCCTGACTGCTGATCATCATCGCGAGAGATACAATGAGTACTCGCGAAACTGATAGACGAAGCCTATGCCAGTACTTCGGACCAGAGCATCGACCATCTAGTTAACAGCAATCGAACACGGAAGAAGGGTCGACAAAGTACTGACGCAATGCTACCTGTACGTTTATGATCTTGTATGAAGTACCCGATACTAACAGACTGGTACAGATGACGGTTCGATGCACCACGGATACCCACCCCATTATCCATGCTGATCCATGCTGGACACGACAATCGATTCCCGACCGGCAGCTGAACCTGAGTGTTCGGTGAATAACGAGACCTTGGTTCAACTTACGAAAGGCCAGAACTTAGCACCGTTGGAGCCCCAACGACGTATGCGCAACGTTCCTTGATACAGCTGCTACACCAATCTCCAAAGATCTACCGCTCCAATCAACACAGCGAAAAACCTGGACGTAAAACCTGGTGCAGAACCTGTTCCAGAGCTGCTTCGTTGTAGAGGCAACATGAGTCATTCTCTCACTGCTGGACAATGTTCTGACGTTTAGGATATCGCTCCTCGTGGCGGGATGGACTTGTGACAACAACGTCCTCTTGTCTCCTTCGTTCCTTGGTTCTCCCGACACGAGCCGAATCGCCGTCTACGGACCCACTGCGTACCGATGCCTGGCTCTTTCGTCCACTGTTGTGGTATGTCTGAACGTTTTTCATGATCCGATAAGCAGCGGCACGATCCTGAGCACCGGGATGGTGAGGATGCTTTGGAACGTTTCCAACATCGACCATGTCCGGTTTCTCCGGCACGGATTGCGTTGAGTCAACTTCATCCTTCGATTTCGCGGGACGGTCGCTGTATTCAGAGGAAGATCTCCGAGTAGCGGCGCGGCGCGGCCCCGCCTGGTTGACAAAGGGGAAACACTCTCCGGTGGCCAAGTTTGCCGTCGCAATGCTGGTACGAGAAGAATCAAGGAGAGGCTCCGCGATCGGATCGAGGGCATTCAGGGCCTGATCCAGCTCCTGATCAAGCGGGCACAACTCCGCGGCCGATGTTCTCTCTTGTGACTCCCTATACTCCAGCGCCTCCCTCCTTCTCTCCGATACCTCCCTTTCTCTTAGTCCCACCAGCGCTAGCCTCCGCTTCGCGTTCCCAAAACGATGGCGACTTGGGAATATACTCAGTGTTGAAATTGAACCTTGCACGCCACGCTTCGTGGCCTCGAGGCGCTCGAGGTCTTGTCTCAGCTCGTGCTGTTCCAAGATCAAGGATTGTAATGCGTCGACGTCAGCTTGGTAGCGAGGCCCGTCAGGTATGCTTCCGGATGCTTCCACGCTATGACAATGCGGACACCCGAGTACATGGACAGCGTGTGGTATTGCCTTCAGAATACATACTTCCTTCAGCGCCTTTTGAAGTAGCTCTCTATTCTTGCGGTACTGCTCAGCTCGAGCTTCGAGTGATTCATCTTTGAGTTCGAGACTTGGGGTTGTGCTAGCCGTTTTGATCACCTGGAGACTGTGATCTCTTGGTCGGTACCCATAGGTCCAGACGGCGAACGGGTCTGGTCGTAACGGAGGGGTGAAATTACTTGGCGAGGGCAACATGTTGCTCAATCGTTCATGCAGCGGCAACTTCAGGTTCTCGTACACGGGACAGGTGGGTGGACTCGGTTCGGCATCGGGATCATCGATACACGTCGCGCGCCTATCGGCTTCTTCGTTCAAGTGCTTGGTTCGATCAATCGACTCATGGAAGACATTGGATACTTCGTACTTGGGGTAGCCGGAGAGGAAAACCTGCAGAACGTCCTCTCGACTGGGCTTCTGATCGGAGAATTCGGCTGGCTCGCTGCGCTCGCCTTTAGGTGGTATCGCCGACCTAGAGAAATGAGAATTGATGCGAGCGAACCTTGGATCTATAGACGCTTGTCAGTGTCTGACCATGAGCCTCAGAGGTTAGGCAATAAAATAGCGTGTGACACAGACTTACCATCCTTGTTAGCGGCCAAAACCGAATCGGCCACTTCGTTCAACTCAGCACACGCATCCTCCCAGTACAACCTCGAGTCCTCCTCCCACTGCGCATCGGATAAGTCAAGAACCGAGGGTGCATCGGACACGAAAGAAAACCTAGAGTCTAGATTGGTCGAATGACCCTGGCGGCTACTCAATGCACCAACAGGAAACGCAGTCATGTCATTCTCACCTCCGATCTGGAAATGCGATAGGGATCGCAGACGGGGTCTTCTTTCGTCCTCATCTTCCATCTCCCACCATTCTTCTTCTTCATCTTCATCTGCTATGGCGTGATCATTATCCTTTCCTCGAATGACCTCCTCCTCCAATTCGCTCAACACTATCCCACTTCGTCTTGCACTGGGTCCAGATGATACCTGGTCCTCCTGTGGGCGATCCGGCTTCAGCGCCCCATCGTCAGACAATCCCGGAAATCTATCCGTTGCAGCAACGTAAAAGTCTGCAAAAGAAGATACCTGGGGAGAGACGGATGTTGACCTTTTGTCGTCCTCTCCCCCGAGGCTTGGTTGGTTGGGCTTGGTGGTAGGTCGTGCGGAGAGAGACGCATGACGAGCAGTACGTGGCTTTTTTGACTCGTCTAGCTTGTTGACGGGGTCAGACAGCGATACAGGGGACTGCTGGGTTGCATCTTTATAGAAACTATCAGGTAGCTGTGAAGCAGAGGATATTTCTGCAGCTTCATTGAGGGACGATGATTGCGATTCTAGGTTGGCGACTATGGTTCCTGTGGTGGCTCTTGCGGCTGCTTCTGTGGTACGTGCTTCGTACGCGGCGATGCGTGCCGATGTCAGCTCCGAGCTTCTCCCTGAGCGAGGCGGAGGAGTAGGAGTGGCCGCTGGCGAAGGGAAAAATTTGATATCCTTTGCTGGGCGAGGTGGTGGGGCATTATAAGTGGAAGAGAAGGGGTTTTCCGGAGGCAATCCAGAAGGAACATGTTCCTTCTTCTGGGTTGAGCTTGAGCTAGAGGAGGAGAGGAAGGGTGGTGGAGAGGATGCCAGGGAGTCGTCGTTATCGTTGGGGCTGGAAGAGAGGTCATGTTTCAGGATGGGTGAGGTATTGAGATCGTCTTCATCGGAGGACCAAGAGGCAGATATGGGCTCGTTGTCTGGTGAATTGCGGGGCGGAGAGGAAGCTATAGATGCTGCTGCTCCTTCACCTACAGTGACTTGGTTGTCAGGATGATTGTACATATTTTTGTGAGCTGTACGTCCGCTGTAACCGAGGGAAGGATTGAATCCTGTCGTATTGTGTTTAACAGAAGCTTCGTCTCCGTATCGTGGACAAGGGGAAAGGTGGTTTGTCACCGAAGGAACATGAGAGAGGTGGCATCTTCAAGAAGACCCTTCGATTACATCTTTTCTCATTTATGACACCATGAACGACTGGACTCAGTCTCAGGGTCATATGGTGATGTGATCGGGCATACATATGATCTGGATCAGGGTCCTCACGACAAGGCTATGAGATCACATTCTTCATGCTATAAGCGATAGGAAGTATGTCTTGGGCTACACAAAACTTACTGCGCACTAAATGTCGACATTATGACCGACTATGCTGAAAGATTTGTTGTCTGTAACGGATGGAATACGGGCTAGTATGGAAGTGTAAAGAGGAAGAGACCTCTATTTTTGGGGAAAATATGGAGTGAGCAGATGCAGCGGCTGTAGATGAGTTCCTCCGGACCCCTGCTACATGTCATTTGCCTCCAAAGGTGACCTGTTGATACCCCCAAATTTGGAGTTCTGGGCCAGGGTCCACACGGCGGAACAATGAAGTCACAAACCTCGACAATTAACCTACCAGCGTGGACGACTTTTGCTATTCGACTTTCAGCTACGGCTTATCTATCTTGATTGAAATCTACGCTTGGCACGCTCTCAGTCTCCGAAATGTATTGCTCCATACCCTTGTATCTCCACCACCTGAAATACGCCTTTGGCGTGGTGGCTGGGCAATCCAGCCCAGATCCAGCTCCGTTGCAGGTAGCGTAGACACCAATCAGCGTGCCAACAAAGGAACCCGATGGACTCAGCTGTGCTGTTGAAGCTCTTCCAAACGAAATTTGTTTTGACTTGCCGTTCGCCAACATTGCTGAGAACAGGTACGTCTTTGGATCTGGCATTGTGATGCGGAGCCGCATAGGCTTTCCGTGCCAAGACGCAGGTACGGGCGTTTTCTTTTCCACCTGTTCCGTAGAGTTGTAACGCAGATAAGTCGTGCCATTGTTGCGCACTAGTCCGAGCTGAATGTTTGCCGTTTGCCACAGGAAAGCAGTGATTCCAGCTTCCTGCCCATCGGATTTGGGGTCGAACGACATATCCACGCTGAAGTCGAATATGCTGTCGGTCTGGCGGCGTCCAATGAAGTTTACAGCCCGCGAAGCTGGATGAGACACGTTGAACGAGCCGGCGAGATTATTGCGACCGAGCATGACTTGCAGGCCTTTGTGCGTGGTCTTGAAAGCGCCGTCCCGAGGAACACGCCAATATACTAGGTTTCGTGGTATCGCTGAGCCCTGAGGAAAGTCGTATACATCTGGGTCTGAATTGAATGGCCCATCACCTGGGAGGTCTCTTGAGCGAGCAGGTAATTGCCAGCCCTCCATCTTGCCTCGTACAGGCTGAAACACTGGCCATTCGCCAGACTCCCAAGTCACAGGCGTGAGCACAGTTTCGCGACCCATGGGGAAAGAAGTGCCATTAGGACCCACGCGCGTCGCGAGCGCGACAGACCACCATTTCCCGTTGTTATCTTGGAAAAGATCTGCATGGCCGACAGTCTGGAAGTACTCTGATGTGCCGCGATTCGTGAGATGAGGGTTGAACGGGCTGGACTGGTAGGGTCCAGTTATGTTCTTTGCGCGAGCCATGGTGACAGAGTGGTCTTCAGCTGTTCCACCTTCGGCGATCAGGAGGTAGTACCACCCATCTTTCTTGTAGATGTGCGGACCCTCTGGCCAAACACCACCCGTTCCGTTCCAGAGCTGCGAAATAGGCCCCATTTCTCCGGTATCAATATTCATCTCCTGTAAGATGATGCCCTGAGTCGCAACATACACCTTGCCGTCATCATCCCAGAATAGATCGGGATCGATCTTACCGGCCTCGAATCTGACTGGATCGCTCCAAGATTCATCATCAAACGGATGCGTAGTCTTGAACAGCACACCTGCCAAGTCACTAGATCCCAGGTATTCGCAGATCACGTAGAAAACACCCTGGTGATGTCGGATGGTTGCCGCGTACATGCCCTCCTGTTGGCCTTTGGTGGCATAACTGTAGCCTGGAAGCTGAGATTCACGGTTCCATGCGTGGCTGATATGTTTCCAGTCTACCAAATCCTTTGATGCGTAGATGGGTAGTCCGGGAAACGAGATGAAAGTAGAGGTTACGCAGAAGAACGTCTCGTTGACATTGACGCACGATGGGTCGCTGTGCCAGCCTGGAAGGACTGGGTTGAGGAACGTCGAATTTTGCGCGAGCGTCGCTGTCGAACACGCAAGGATAGCTGTCGTGACCCTCGTTAAGAACCGCATCTTGAAGGATCTTGGAAAACCTTGACAGAGCTTACCCTGCATCCGGCGATGCAGAAAGCTTTATGCATACCAGCGACCAGCAGGTGCAGGTGGTTCCTAGGTGCTACCAGCCTGTTGGGAAGAAGCACGACCGACGAATCTCTTGCATATCGGTTGCACTCATTTAGCCAAAGTAATCCCGCGGTGCTATTGGTGTTAAGCATGCAACATTTTCTAGCTAGTATGCGGGGGAACACGATGAGCTGTAGAACCACCGGGCTTAATGAGCCTCAAGATCCGGGGATCGAGGGGAAACTAATTTTGATCGTCGCAATTTCACGCAATGACGTCATAATTTCTCCGTGCCTCATAACCATACATTTTGTGAGGCTTGCTAAGAAATTTCATCATATGCTTCGCAGAAGCCGGTTATGTTACTGAATTTCAGCGTCTTGTCTTTGAACAGCACGCGCTCTTGGTAAGATAGACGCCGTCACTTTGCATAGTGAGCGCGCTACGGAGTCTTGCACTATGTTCAGTCTCGAGAAAAGTGTCATGACCTTTCAGTCGCAATGCTATACAGGAAGTTTACTCGACTAAAATAGTATAGATTTCACCTTTCCCCGACGGCAATGTAATGCGCGTCTCTACGGTGTTCTCACACAAAGTTACTTGTTCCTCCGGATATGATACGGCAGCATATGATGCGCACCGAAAGGAGAAACGACTCTTCGAAGCAACCCGACCGCATGTGAGGTGGTAGACCCTGAACCTAACACCTTGTACGTGCTGAGTACGACGCATCGAAGGAGATTGCGACCGACCATTGGCGGCGATGCGATGTGGCGAGGATGGCTCAACACTTGGTTCCTGTGAAGGTTAGTGTGTAGACCAAACGATGATCTTGTTGTGACTTACAGATCAGGGTAGACCTGATGAGTATGGTACGACTTATACTAACTTGAATAGACTCAAACTTGATTGCATCCATGATCATTGAGATGGAATCTTGGTACCACATGTGTAGTCAATGTTGCGGAATTGGTGAATGGCTTGGCGTCCTTGGGTCATCGCAAACCAGAGGGTGGTTACGGCGTTGATGACGCTCATAACCACCCGCTCAGCCAGGCATAGCCAAGTATGCTTGGACTGTCTGGATAAAGCAGTCGATATCCTCAATCTGCTTCAGCATTTCGTGACCAGCCTGAATGTAGAGGGTCTCTTGCTGTTGACCAGTCAGGGGCGTACCGATATGCTGTTGGTCAAGGTTGTTCAGCATGAGAGCCTTCAACTTCAGCGCAAGATCGTCGACCTGAGCCAGTTGGAGAATGGCTTGGCCTCCATTCCACGTGTCGCTGGCGTTGGTGTTCATCTTGTTGATCGCGTGCTTGAGAGCAGTCATGAATTGGCCTTTCACATCCTGGACTGGCAGCGGAGGAGATGCGTGTCGAGCAGCAGGAGCTACACTGCTTGCGCCAGCGATACAGAACGCGCCGATGACCTTATCCTTTGCCGATGCAAAGAACTTCTTGATGTTTTTATGAAATTCTTTTGCTTTGTTTACAAAACGGTCGAGTTTGCTGCAGTCTTGGAGTTCGTGCTCAGACTGTGTGTCGTACTCGCGTTCGATTTCTGCAGGCGTTGGTGGACGATGCAGGCTCTGCATGTGGTCTGAGATGCGTTGAAGAACAGCAAGTTCCTGTTCTTTGACCATGGGTAGTATCTCCGATGGTAGCAACCGTTCTTTGAGTTTCACTGCCGCTTCGTGGTTCTTGCGCTTCATGGTCCAAAACAAGCGATACATGAAGTGCACGCGTTTTTCGTGAGGAAGATCATTCAGCGAAGGTGGGGCGCTCAGAGGCTGAATGATGTTGAGCTCTTCTTGAGTGAGCGGCGCATCTATCGAGTTGACCTGGACTGGGACGGAGGTCTCCTCAGCGTTGTCCATCTCCTCATCCCTAACTCCCGCCAAGAACATCCGTTCATCTTCTAAAGCGGTATGCTCGGCTCGAATGCCAACCTCGTACCTTTGGTCGAGCCAGCATTTGCTCGGTAGGTCAGATAACGACAGCACTTCCGAGTGTATGTTGTGCAGGACATTACTTTCAACATCATGCGCTAGCTTTTTGAGTGCGTTGTTGTCAAGCAAAAGCCCATATCTTGAAAAGACTTGGCGCTGCATCTTCTCCAGTTGGTCGTGTAGGTAGACAAGACCTTGTTGGCGGAGCTCGTAAGACAATTTGCCGAGATACTGGTGATCACTTTGCTTTGGTGCTAGGCGGTCATCACCGAGCAGAGCAGGCTGCTGGAACGAGATATCAGGACGAGGTGCTGATGTCAAGGTACTTTGATCATCTGAAACACCATACAGATCGATGTCCATCGCGTCCGATGCAGATACACCAGAGGTGGTGGTGACCGAGCCATTCTGCGAAGCCGAACTTGTGTTCTTTGTGGAGATCTTGATCGAAAAAAGAACGGCATTCGAAGCGGAACCCACATCTTGTTTGGCAGCGGCAATGACAGCAGGTATAGGTACACCCGTTGCATTGCTGACGTTGGAGACGAAGGGTTCGATCAGAACGAAGAAGCTTTGCTTGTCTTTCATGGTATCAAGCTCGGCTACCACAACAGCAATCAGTCTTCTGTGCTCGTCGTCCGTAGTCGTCGTATCTGTGACGTGGAAATCGATGGCTTTGCACAAAGCACCTTCAAGTAGGTCCAAAGCGTCTGATGCGTTCTGAGTAAAGATCTTCTCCCGGCGAAAGATGCTGTCCAAGGAAAGTCCGATCTTTTTCATACCGGTTTTGCGGGCCTTCTGAGAGATAGTAGACCCATGGACATAGGGGGGTGTCTGCCGCCCTAAGTTGGCATCAAGGAAGGCACCGGATGGTCTGACAAGCGCCGCCTTGACATTTTTGAGGTCACTGTCCGCGGCCGATGATGCAGGCTGTGAAGTGTTAGTCGCGAAGACCGCGATTTGGACAAGGTACTAACCATAGACGCACTATGTGTTGCGCTAGTTGTGGACATCGTGACAGTGTTCAAAGCCTTATGTTTGTCAGGTCTTTTTCATCTTGCGATGTCGTGCATGCACTTACAAGACTGTAATAGCCTAGTCTGAGAATGGAGGTGATGACTGTGTCTTGTGTATGCGTCTGTAGGAGTGATGAACAGTGTCGATAGGAGCAGTATGCTTGGTGAACAATATAGGGCTATACCGAGCGGATGGGTGTATCTCCAATGCTCAGCAAGTCGGGTAGGCTGACTATGAGAGACGTATCTGTAGAGCGTGTGTTGAGCTAAAGCGTTGGCAGGCGATGGTAATCCGAAAGTTCAGCGTCGGCGCAAGAGATAGCAAAGAGGAGGCGCCAAGTACAGAGTCATAGCGCAGCGCGCGTCAGGCGCCATCATCGGAGGTTCTTGTGGTAGTGAAATGTGAAAATTTCCAAGAATCGACGTCACGGTCGGTGGGCTAGTGAAAGTGGAGAGTGGGCGCCCCCGAACTCATCGAACAGGCAGCTATACACGGAGGCTTGAGTGCGAAAGAGAACTTTATATATGCAGTCAGAGCTCGGGCAGATGACAGACCAGCAATTTGGCGTGGTATTTAACCAAAGTTCAGAGAGGCGTTTGCTCGAAGCCGTTGTTTTGAACATACTGTATAACATTCGTCAGACCCAATTGTGGGCCCGTCAGTTCCCGCAACCTCTTTCAATTTTGATGGACTGATATATGAGCAAGACGGGACGTGACACATGGTCTCTCACGAACACCACAGATTTGGAGATAGAGCCTACATCTTCGTGTCACCTGTGGCTCAATGGCGATGCAGTGAAGGAAGTCAAAAAGAGCTTATTTATGACCAGCCAATCTACAGATAAGGGAAAGGAGTAATGCACAGAGATACAGTCGCTTTGCTCGCATGTTTCTCAGACGCGCCTCGACAGTCATCGCGTAATCACGCTTGGTCTACGTAGTAGGAAAATTGGCCTGCCACAATTATCGCTATGTGGATATAGGCCGTTCTTGATTCTGGCGCATTACAGCTTTCAGAGTCGCCATGCGTTTTATCGGGGCTGTGATCGAAGAAAACAATTTGAGGCGCAATTGTGAGCTGCCGCATAAGGTTCCTCTGAGACGGTTGAATGCTAGGAGCGACATCTTTTTGATAGACCGCGTAGGCCTAATAAATGGTGATAGTCTGCCGCGGAAACTCTTTCAGGACCTTATCAGGTATGCAAAGATGCGAGAAATATCCTGTACGATAATACTTGAAGCCATTTTGGCACTGTTCACGGAGAACAACAATACCAATATCCGCAGGAGTGTATGGATCTTTATCAGTGAGCCAGGGATTATCCACACACCATTCTGGTATCTCGTGGACCGAAAACCTGGCTATTGGAAAGAGAAAGACTGGCGTCAGGTCCTCATCCGAGTCTTGAAGACTTGGTGTTTTTGCCCTTTTTACCTCTCTATGTTCTGCAATTCCTCCGTTGTCTGGGACTTCTGCATCGCTTGTTTGGGCTAGCTGTTCCTCGTCCAGATCATCGATGTAAATGGTAGAGCGTGGATTGTTGTCACGTCCTAGCTCGTCGGCTTCGATGTATATGTGATACTCTTGTCCCCATTTTGTAGGTATCTCCAAAGCAATGCTGGAGTGCTCCGTACATGAGAGCTTGATAATGCCTTTAGATATTGACGATGCGTCGAAGTCCACCGGTCCGATAAGATGCCTATTCAATTCAAGCTGGCCTGAAGATATCTGCCCAGTGTCGTAACGTGAGTCCTTGAGGTCTATGCGAATGTCGATCACATCACAGTGAATCTCTATTGGAAGCTTCATGTTAGATCCGAGACCTCCTTCGAGACAAATATCGCTGTGGATAAGTGCGACCTCAATCGCGCCTACCATGGAGGCCCAAGACCAAGTTGGAGCGGTGTACTCCTTAGTTCGGTATGAGCGCCGATCATCTCTCTTCCAGCAAAGTGCTAGTGGCATCCGTGAGCGCCACATGCCCGCAACATATTGATCTCCTCCAAACTCCCTGCGGTTATCCTGAGCCACTCCAGCAAAGGCAACTAGTTTGTCCGTCGGGAAAGTGAGATTACAGTGTGTGTATCCTTCAACCAGCTTATACCAATTCATGTCACGCAACAATTCGCTTCTGACTGAATTTCTCGATTCTGCACTGATCTCTGGGGAGACTCGACTCCCGAACGGATCAGGAAAACCAGCAGGATGGGTTTCACATCTGGATTTCTCTTGACACTTCCACCAAAATTGAGACTCTGCCATATGGAGGATCCTACGCGAGAGATACTGCTCTTGAAACACCCAAGCTCGGGAGACAAGTGGTGATTCTCTGATTTCTCGATTGAGCATGTCTTGGATGTTAGTGATGCACCAGCGTCTTGTGCGATCGCCATCGTCCATCCAATCGTTCAAGATCAGAGGAGCGACAAGAGAGATATCTCTAGACTGGAAGCTTGCTCCGGAGTTTTCTGCCGCTGCTGTTGCACACAAATTCATCGTTGAGTTCCTGTAGACGTCTTTCATAATGAGCGCTTCATCTTGCCAGTCGGAGGAATCTTGAATAATGTAGAGGGAGTCAATCCAGATGTATCGAAACCCCATACTCCTGCATACCAGGAGAGCTTCTTTGTAACTTGTGGGAAGTTTTGAATCGCTGAACCATGATTGCAACTGCAGCAGATTTTCTTGGATCAGTTTGAGAGTCTTCGCCTTGCTCCAACAATGGGAGAAGGCTACATATGGTTCGTGAACATCCTCATTTTTGGTGATAACTAGCTTGACTGAGTTCTCGTTGTTTATCTCAATCAAGCGTGTTGGTCGAAAAGTTGGATCCGGAGGCGCGCAGACAGAATGGCTCGCCATACATTCCCGATACCATCTCATGGGTAGCTCTAACATACTTGGATCCTGAATGTTGGCCGGCAACTGGCGAGTATCCTCTGCATTGCCTGCAAGATCATGTTAAACGTGTTCCGATAGTGTTCGATACTGCTACAGCTTACCGATGTAAGGTATGATCCCGAAAACCCAAATGGGTGTGTCCAGCGACTTAGCAGGTAAATCTTCGGAGCTGGTGGCTGACTGTGGGTACAGGTCATCTTCATCGTCACCCCAACTGTATTCAATGAAAAGTGAGTACACTACGTAATCGATGTGCTTCCTGGGATCTTTGTCCTGTGATTTCATAAGGTACCAGGTTGAAGGCAGAGCTTCCGGATTGATCTCGATGCGACGCTGAACTTCCTTCCACGTGTCACTCTTCGTGATCTTTCGACAGATGTAGCAGTTTGCCGCAGCTTTGATGAAATCATCTGGGGATTGGTGATGAGGATTGTCCGTGTCCAGGATTGGCGGCTCTCTAAAGATGGTACGGCAGACCTCACACAGATTCAAAGCCATGGTTCTATGAGTTATGGACGAAGGAAGACAACGAATCAAGGATAAGCCAGACAAGCTCAGCCTCGTGAGAAGGAAGGCAACACTGATCCCGTGATGCGCGCAATCGGAAGGACGTGAAGAACGCCAGAAATAGGAGAAAAGTTGTTTCGAAATTGAACGTTTGCGTTGGAAATTTGGGAAGAGAGGACTGGGGAGTAAGAAGGCTGAGTCTGTCCAGGTGGATGCTGTCGTTGCCCCGCAGCGCCTCTTGCAGTGGGTGGCGCACATCCACAAGCCTGTGATTTGCTACACAGTATATTCACAGCAGGTCTGCGATAGAATCGCAACTCGTTGCATTATGGAGCATTCTTAGCGATGCCAGTTGCGCACTAAAATCCAGCAATACGACAAACAATCTGCGCAACGCAGGATGGATGATTGCTTTTTTACCTAGGTAGTGAAGCCAAGTGATTGGGAATACACTTCCACCGCGATACAATACACTGTAACTCAACAGTGTTGTGCCTGCATCTTGTCACCATCACTTCCATCAGACCGACGGAGTAACAAACTAAGGGATCTCGTGATTATAGCTACCTAGGTATTGTGGGGTGGCTCTACAGCCTCGTTTTCTATGTAGGTAGCTATCGTGTCATCAAGTGGATCATTGCGCGACCTGGGTCACTGCATACAGACACGATACTCTTAGTCCCTAGCTCCTATTCTAGCTTGAATCACTTAGTAGTCTGATATAGACGCGTTCTCCATGGAGAAGTGCCACCGCACTGCTGAGTTGCGTTACCGTTGCAGGGAGTAGTACACTCTTCTTCTTTTCCGATAGTCACCCCAGCTCTGATAGAATCCCCACAGAAGCACAAACCAGGGTAGAGGCCGAAATACTTGTATCCATCACATAGAGTAGAGCACTGTTCGAATGTAAGACTCTGACTGGGCGTTCTGCGGCCGGTTAGGATGTTATTAGGCTGGCCCTGTTCGGCGTAGCAACCCATGTATGTAGGAGGTTTTTGCTTGTATGATTCTAGTTCGGCTAGAAGTTCTTGCTCGCGCCGAAGGAGCTCTTGTTGTTTCTGACTGAGTTGGTCCGCCAAATCCTGTTCGCGTGCGAGAAGTTTGTCTTGAGCTGCTTGACAGGCATCTAGGGAACCATTGCTGCTACTTCCACCAGATTGGAGAGAATAAGACGGGAGGGATTGTTCGAATCTGAGACCGTTCGTACAAGTGCATGAGCAGCTGTGTTCGCCGAGCGACGGATCCATACAGGCGACTGATGGTTTTACACCTATTTCACTAGGTAAGCCTACTAGATTTACAACTTCAAGGATTAACGTACCATTGTCGCATGTATATGAAGCCATAGAAGGGTCGAAAGAGCTGCTGAGTATTTGTTGTACGTCGCCACCGTAGACCTTGGCACAAAGGCCAGATACAAAGAAGATCCAGGAAGTTCTCATAGTATGTTCGAGGAGATGAATAGAGCTTGAGGGAAGTGTTTGAATCGTTGGTTGATAGATAATACATTTGATAGGTCAACACGACGCTTTTATATGTTCAATTCTAACTTTCTTCTTCTCGCCCGCTTCCAAACACTTCATGTAATCAGTAACTCACTAAGATCTACATGACAGTATTCGTGAGTAGGCCATGCATTCAGCATAGAGTGAAGCCTTAGGTAGCGTTACCGTTCCTGTTCACAAGATAGACCGGATCATGCGATGAGTTGCTTTTGCTTGTAAATGTGGAGTGTCACATGACCTAGCTTAATGCGCGCAAAGGCACGCAGTGGGGCTCAATTGTAATACTTTCCTTTTCGAATGATCGACATCGTTTTTTACCTTTGTCTGCAAATGGGCAGTACCCAGGTATTTTTGCGCATGCTTATGGCGCGAGACGACAATGGGAGGCACCATGATATGATCAACATTACATATGCAAGCCGGTCAATGTCATGAGTAAATGAATGCGATAATAATCAAACAAACAACAGCACTTGCGACATGTATAATTTGGCATACAAAACCCTCAACGACACATGTTACTGAAGTTGCTAGATGATTATCGGAACCATGAAGTTGATGCGTGCTCAGGCTACCTAGGTACATGATTTTGCACGAGATTGTTTGGCTCCTAATGTCTACTAATCTCAACAAGTATTTGTTCGGAATCATACGAAGTAACACCGGAACACTAATGAATCTAAGAAGTTGCTTGTTCTGCGACTGCATTCAAGATGAGGGGAGACCGACAGCGGGCCAAACGTTCATAAGTTGGAGGCATTCCGCTCAGGAAACGGTAGTACAATCACCCTTCTTGAACATCTTCACTATCTTACCATCTACGACCACCGAAAGCTCTAACAATATGCGTCACTTCGTCGGACTTGCAACCCTTCTCTTTTGTGGGACTGCATGCGCACAATTTGCCTCTGGCGATTTTTCCGGCATGCCAGTCATGTGTCAGAATGGCAAGTCCTTGTCGTTCCGTAATCAAATCTCATTGCTAACAGAAATTTTAGGGAGAGAACCTACTCTAACATGCTCAGAACCCATCCAAGAAACATGTGGATGCGTCTGCCGTGATGGAGCGACGTTCAATCAGACGCGTCCCGGGTCCCTAGTTGATGTGACTCCTCCACCGGTCTCACAACAGCTTCCGGGGAAACCATGCATGGCTGATATCTTCGTGTCCTGGAAGGACATCAAATTGCCTCATTACCCGAATTCTTACGAACCCTCGGAAATGTACGACGAAGTGGTTGATGTGCCAGAGGATAGTGTGTTTGTGGTCGCCGACTCAGCGCAGAGGTGTCAGCACTTTGAGGTGTATGTCGATGGTGAGAAGGTAGGGGTTACGAATGGAGACGGACCTCTTGATGCTAGCGACTGTGGGAAAGCCGAAACCTGCATAGAAGAGAATGGGGGAAGCCATGGGTATTTTACGCTTCAGAAAGGCTAGTCACTTTCAACTCGGCTACGAACTAAATTTCGAGGCTAACTTCAAGTGTAGGATCACATGCCATTGGTCTCAGATGGATCGGTATCACAGACGCGTGTAAACACATCTCTACTGGACGTGGCTCTTTCCAGATCTACAGGAAATGCTGAACGATCCAATGTAAGCTTAACATAGCATGCCAGGCAGTTCAGGAAAGAATTTGGTCCTAACGCACAGTTTTAGTGCCGAAAACCAAATGTTAATACCTACCTAGGTAGGTATCGAGATGAGATTGGAGGATTATTGATGTCTATCGTCGGGAGCTGAGGTTGCATTTGTCTATGTTTAGCGCCCCATATTTATGATGCGCTACCTACACCTACTTTTAGTGCTCATCAGTACGAACCCAACTTGCTACTCATACATTCCATAGCTCACAATGAGCTCTCTATATTGTTGTGATGATCTTAGCATTCAGCCAGGGTTAAATGATCTGGACGAAACGAGTAGGAACATTTCACTTTTACCACCTCAAGAAGAGCACGGTA